ACGGCGAGCGTCTGGAACTACGACTCCCAGCCTGCCCTGGGGCGCTTCCGTCCCCTCGGCCGCGCGGCTGGGGGGGGAAGGGAAAACTCATCTCACCTCAGCCCGGGGGGTCCCTACCTGGCCCTGCTGCTGGGTGGGGGGCAGCATCCTCAGGGACGCCCCCCCAGCCAGAGCCAACCCTCCTGCAGCGCCCTCCTGCACCCAGGGCCAACCCTCCCCATCCTTTGGCGAGGAGTTCCGCAGGTTGATGGGTGCGTTGGGTGAAGAAAAACTTCCTTTGGTTTGTTTTAAACCTGCTGCCTGTTCATTTCATTGGGTGAGCCTTAGCTCTTGTGTTAGGAGGAGTAAATAGCACCTCCTTATCTATTTTCTCCACACCGGTCATTTTATGGACAGTCATATCCCCCTTAGTCATCTCTTTTCCAATCTGAAAAGTCTCAGTCTTATTCATTTGTACAGTCCCAGGGTGTACAAGACTGAAAAGTCTCAGTCTTATTCACTGTACGGCCCTAGTGTGCGTCTCTCTGCTTGAATGTGGCAGGCTCGGTCCCAGCTGCGGCATAGCCTTCCGAGGCTCCTGCCCCATCCCCTGCCTGGCCAGTAGTAGTAACAGGTGTGTTGAAAATCCTTCTCCGATCCACAAGCTCGCAGTCGCCAGGGCACCAGAGTCTACATCGTGCCAGGGTGTGCCGGGGCGCTGCAGGAATCGTGTCTCAGGCGAGACGTCATGCAGAACGCATGGGCTTACCCCATCACCAACGATCCCATCCATATTCCTGAGAGGAGCATTGCTTTCAGCCCTGGGCTGGGAACTGCATTCTGCCCAATGAGTTACCCTTCACAGCCTTCCCAAGGAGCTGCTGGTACATGATGCGAGTCCCACGGATTCGTGTTGGGTGGTTCTTGAGAAAGGAACAAGAGGCAGGATAGGTTGAACCTCGATAGTCCCGAACTCTCTGGTCCGGCAATACCCATGGTCCGGCATGATTTTAGTTACCCAGATGTCCACTTGTCATGGATGTGGCCAAGTTTCCTGCGGTCCCATAAAGTTTGTTTACAGCACCAGTCCTGGCTCTGTGTTTTGAACTGTTATTTATGTCTAATTTATCCCTAAGGCTACGTCGACATTGCAGGCTTTTTGCGCAAAAACATGCAGAGCATCTACACTGCAAGCGCGTTCTTGTGCAAGTAAATTTACAGGACAGCATCAGAAAACAGGGCTTCTTCTATCACTATTCTTCCAGAAGAGTTATTCCTCTCCCCATGAGGAATAAGCCCTCTTGCACAAGAGCTCTTCCACACGAAGGCAGTGTAGACAGGCAACAGGTGTTTCTTGAGGAAGAAAGCCCTATGGCTAAAATGACCATCAGAGCTTTCTTGTGCAAGAAAACATCCACACTGCCCTGGATGCTCTTGCGCAAAAGCACACGGCTGTGTGGACGCGCTCTTGTGGAAGACCTTTTGCACAAGAACTCTTTCACAAAACAGTTCTTGCACAGGAAGCCTACAGTATAGAGCTGTGTCTAGACTGGCAAGATTTTGTGCAAATACTTTTCACGGAAAAGTTTTTCCGTGAAAAGTCTTTGCGCAAGAGAGCGTCTACACTGGCACGGATGCTTTTGCGCAAAAGCATCCGTGCCAGTGTAGACGCTCTCTTGCGCAAAGACTTTTCACGGAAAAACTTTTCCGTGAAAAGTATTTGCACAAAATCTTGCCAGTCTAGACACAGCTCTATACTGTAGGCTTCCTGTGCAAGAACTGTTTTGTGAAAGAGTTCTTGTGCAAAAGGTCTTCCACAAGAGCGCGTCCACACAGCCGTGTGCTTTTGCGCAAGAGCATCCAGGGCGCGGCAAGATTTTGCACAAAATCTTCCCAGTCTAGACGTAGCCTAAGTGTCTTCTGATACCCCAGTAAGCAGTGGAAGTGTTGGTAACGCTGCTAGAAAATGTTGACCTCCCGTGGTCTGGAAAATTCTCTGGTTCAAAACCAGTAGGTGCCGGACTAGAGAGGTTCAACTTTTCTTTGTGTCTCCTTGAGTGCCAGAGATCAGGTGTGGGAGGCAGAACAATACAGCAGAAAAACACGTCTTTATTTCTTGCAACATGAGATAGAACAAGCCACGGGGCCAGATCCTGCAGACCTCAAATGGACAATTTCCTCACTGAAGCCAGTTGGTTCTGGGCCAAAATAAGGGCTGTACGACCTGGCTGAACACCCTGCACCCGCTCAGCTTCCTGCCCCCTTTCAAGCCATGCGTTAGATTGACAGATTTTAAGGCTAGAAGGGAACACTGCTCGTGTAATCTGGCCTCTGCCACCACCCAGGCCACAGAATTTGCCTCTTTTACCCATTCATTCTTGAGCCTAATAACTTGTGTTTGGCAAAAGCAGCTCCCAGAAAAGCAGCCAGCGAGGACTCCAACACTTCAAGAGATGGAGACTCCTCCACTTCCCTGGGTGATTTCTTCCCATGGCTCGTCGGGAGTCCTCGCCTACTCCTGTTTCAGGTAGGGCCTCTGGGATGCAAACTTCTCCCACATGGCCCAGGAGAGTTTTAGTCCCAGCGGGGAGAGACGAAGCCAATCGGGCAACAGCAGCGCACACACCAAGCTCTGAAATGAGCCAAGAAGGGACAAGTCACTCAAATGGTACCCACTGCGAAGAGACAGACGGGAGTCTGGGGGCGAAACCCCACGCGTGGGTCCTGACTCGTGGTTTCGGAACTCCCACGCTTGGCCACGTTACAGGGCTCAGAGAGCTGGGACCAGGACCAGTTTCTGGAGGAAGGCGAATGGCATATTAGGGGGCATTCGGAGGAGCATTGCCAGCAGATCCAGAGATGTCATTATTCCCCTTTATTCGGCTTTGGTGAGGCCGCATCTGGAGTATTGTGTCCAGTTCTGGGCCCCCCGCTATAGAAAGGACGTGGACGCATTGGGGAGGGTCCAGCGGAGGGCGACCAAAATGATTCAGGGGCTGGAGCACATGACCTACAAGGAGAGGCTGAGGGACTTGGGTCTGTTTAGTCTGCAGAAGAGAAGAGTGAGGGGGATTTGAGAGCAGCCTTCAACTTCCTGAAGGGAGGTTCCAAAGTGGCTGGAGAGAGGCTGTTCTCAGTAGTGACGGATGCAGAACGAGGAGCAACGGTCTCAAGTTATAGTGGGGGAAGTCTAGGTTGGATATTAGGAAAAACTATTTCCCGAGGAGGGTGGAGAAACGCTGGGACGGGTTCCCTAGGGAGGGGATGGAGTCTCCGTCCCTAGAGGTGTTTAAGTCTCCGCTTGACAAAGCCCTGGCTGGGTTGATTTAGTTGGGTTGGTCCTGCCTTGGGAAGGGGGCTGGACTTGAAGACCTGCTGAGGTCTCTTCCAGCTCCATGGTTCTATGAGGAAGGCAGGCAGGGGAATTACTCTAGACTCCAGCTTCTGGATCACTGTGCCGCTTGACTTCTCAGGAACACATGAACCCATGTGCTCTGCCCTGGTTGGCAAAACGGCTCAGGCGGCACCTCCCTGGGACTTCTCCACAGGGGTTCTGCGACCCCGGGGGTCTCAGGGGACATTTCCAGGGGCAAAGGGCTTGTTCCTGGGAGAGGTAGGTCTTATTCCTCAGCACCACACCTGGAAGCAAAATCCTCATTCTCACCGTTCCCTTTTACAGCTGAGATTTATTTGGCTTATTCCTTCGGTGTGAACCTTTAGCGGCTGCTGACAGGTTTCTCTTCCTGAGCTGCCCTCCATGCCCAGACCTGCTGATGGGGGTGAGGGAGGGCAGGACAAAGGGGGCAGTTGCCCCAGGACCTGGCTGCTGCCCGGGGCCCTTTCAATCGCTGCCAGAGCCCCATGCAGAGTGCTCTGAGAGGGGCCCGGCCGCCTGGGCTCTGCTGAGGGCTGTCGGCTCTTGCTCCACCCCTTCTGAGGTCCCACCCCTTGCCCGGGGGGGGGGGGGCGCCCCGCCTCGCGTCTATCATCGCAGGCGGGCAGGCCAGATGGGCACCCCTGTCCACCACACTGACCTGCAAGTAGTGGGAAAGGCAGCCAGATCTCTGGTTGCTGATGCCCACGGTGTTCAAAGCCTCGCGAGCAAAGTCATCTGCTGTCTTCACGTAGAGGCTGGGGCAGATGTTGTGGGTCATGTTTGTGGAGACGAGGAGCGGCAGGACACTCTGGCGGGGGCAGAGGGGAGGGAGTGCTGGCAGGGACCATACTAGCCCCAACCCATCTTGGTCGCTCCTGGTCGGAGGGGCCGCTCTAGAGCCATGGCGTTCTCCCCCACCGCAGGGCAGAGGGCAGCCAAGTGGGGATTTTAGTCACCTTGTCATGTCGCATACGAGTTCTGCTGCCTTGTAGGAACCCCGTGTGCGTGCCTCGGTTTCCCTGGGCACTACACTAATTCCTAGAGGGTGATGGGAATTTCGGTGGGACAGCCTCCCCCAGGTCCACGGCCAGCTCTAGAGCCATGGCGTTCTCCCCCACCGCAGGGCAGAGGGCAGCCAAGTGGGGATTTTAGTCACCTTGTCATGTCGCATACGAGTTCTGCTGCCTTGTAGGAACCCCGTGTGCGTGCCTCGGTTTCCCTGGGCACTACACTAATTCCTAGAGGGTGATGGGAATTTCGGTGGGACAGCCTCCCCCAGGTCCACGGCGGCTGATGCCTTCATAACCTGAGCAGCCAAGGGGTGTGGCCAGGTGACACCTTTTTCCAGGAAGTAAGATAAAGGCTGGAAGAGGAGTCTTGCTAAGGGGGCTGAGACAAGCAGCTGGATGTGGGTCAGCCTGGGCTGGCTGGCGAGGCAGGGGGTGCACCAGGACCCGTGGCGCCGGGCTCCCCTTCTCTCCCCAAGATGGGGTGTCCTGGCTGCTTCCGGTCTCTGGGCTGACAAGTCTGTTCTATGCTGCATCCCTGTGGCCTGATAAACCTTCGCCCTGCCGGCCGGGGGTGCAGGGCCCGGCGACTCCCCCACACCTCGGTGACACAGAGCACTAATGGCCAGATTTTCAGAACTGCCCCACACCCTGCAACCCCCATAACCCTCCCTGCCCAGGGAGCGCAGAGTGCGGCCTGCAGGGGGCGCAGTAGACCGCCGAAAGCACAGCGCATGCTGCACCCGTACTCCCGCCTGCTGGAGGGGGAAGATCTCTTGGCACTGTACCTGCACGATGATGCCCTGGGCACGGTACTCGACCTCCAGGCTTCTCGAGAAGAAATCGACAAACACCTGCCACGGAGAAGGAAGGGAAATGAAGCCATGGGACCACAACGGAGCAGGAGAGGGGCACAGGGCCGCTTGCAGCGGAGTGGACAGGGACAGGTCCCAATGAACGCCGACAAGGGAGCGAAGGGGGCAGATCTTGGAAGGACAGGTGGCCGTTGCTCTGGCTGTCCCAGGGAGCTGGTGGGGGGCAGGCAGGGGAGCCGAGCTACCCTGGATCCCTGGGCAAAGTGGGAGGGGCCGGCTCCTCACTCCTGGAACAGGTGGGGCAGGTTCCCTTGCTGTTGGGACTGAAAGCCTTGACTTTTTATATTTGTATTTTAGGTTTGGTAAGATAGTAATGGGCTGTGTCTAGACTGGCCAGTTTTTCTGGAAAATCAGCCGCTTTTCCGGAAAAACTTGCCAGCTGTCTACACTGGCCGCTTGAATTTCCGCAAGAACGCTGACTTCCTACTGTCTGAAATCAGTGCTTCTTGCGGAAATACTACGCTGCTCCCGTTCAGGCAAAAGTCTCTTTTGCGCAAAGCTTGTGCGCAAAAGGGCCAGTGTAGACAGCTGAGATTTGTTTTCCGCAAAAAAGCCCCCATGGCAAAAATGGCGATCGGGGCTTTTTTGCGGAAAAGCGCGTCTAGATTG